GCTAGCACGCTCTGCTGCGTTGCTAGCACGCTCTGCTGCGTTGCTAGCACGCTCTGCTGCGTTGCTAGCACGCTCTGCTGCGTTGCTAGCACGCTCAGCTGCGTTGCTAGCACGCTCAGCTGCGTTGCTAGCACGCTCAGCTGCGTTGCTAGCACGCTCAGCTGCGTTGCTAGCACGCTCAGCTGCGTTGCTAGCACGCTCAGCTGCGTTGCTAGCACGCTCTGCTGCGTTGCTAGCACGCTCTGCTGCGTTGCTAGCACGCTCTGCTGCGTTGCTAGCACGCTCTGCTGCGTTGCTAGCACGCTCTGCTGCGTTGCTAGCACGCTCTGCTGCGTTGCTAGCACGCTCTGCTGCGTTGCTAGCACGCTCAGCTGCGTTGCTAGCACGCTCAGCTGCGTCGCTAGCACGCTCTGCTGCGTCGCTAGCACGCTCTGCTGCGTCGCTAGCACGCTCAGCTGCGTCGCTAGCACGCTCAGCTGCGTCGCTAGCACGCTCTGCTGCGTCGCTAGCACGCTCTGCTGCGTCGCTAGCACGCTCAGCTGCGTCGCTAGCACGCTCTGCTGCGTCGCTAGCACGCTCAGCTGCGTCGCTAGCACGCTCTGCTGCGTCGCTAGCACGCTCTGCTGCGTCGCTAGCACGCTCTGCTGCGTCGCTAGCACGCTCTGCTGCGTCGCTAGCACGCTCTGCTGCGTCGCTAGCACGCTCTGCTGCGTCGCTAGCACGCTCTGCTGCGTCGCTAGCACGCTCTGCTGCGTCGCTAGCACGCTCTGCTGCGTCGCTAGCACGCTCTGCTGCGTCGCTAGCACGCTCTGCTGCGTCGCTAGCACGCTCTGCTGCGTCGCTAGCACGCTCAGCTGCGTCGCTAGCACGCTCTGCTGCGTCGCTAGCACGCTCTGCTGCGTCGCTAGCACGCTCTGCTGCGTCGCTAGCACGCTCTGCTGCGTCGCTAGCACGCTCTGCTGCGTCGCTAGCACGCTCTGCTGCGTCGCTAGCACGCTCTGCTGCGTCGCTAGCACGCTCAGCTGCGTCGCTAGCACGCTCAGCTGCGTCGCTAGCACGCTCTGCTGCGTCGCTAGCACGCTCAGCTGCGTCGCTAGCACGCTCAGCTGCGTCGCTAGCACGCTCTGCTGCGTCGCTAGCACGCTCTGCTGCGTCGCTAGCACGCTCAGCTGCGTCGCTAGCACGCTCAGCTGCGTCGCTAGCACGCTCAGCTGCGTTGCTAGCACGCTCAGCTGCGTCGCTAGCACGCTCAGCTGCGTCGCTAGCACGCTCTGCTGCGTCGCTAGCACGCTCTGCTGCGTTGCTAGCACGCTCTGCTGCGTCGCTAGCACGCTCTGCTGCGTCGCTAGCACGCTCTGCTGCGTCGCTAGCACGCTCTGCTGCGTCGCTAGCACGCTCTGCTGCGTCGCTAGCACGCTCTGCTGCGTCGCTAGCACGCTCTGCTGCGTCGCTAGCACGCTCTGCTGCGTCGCTAGCACGCTCTGCTGCGTCGCTAGCACGCTCTGCTGCGTTGCTAGCACGCTCTGCTGCGTTGCTAGCACGCTCAGCTGCGTTGCTAGCACGCTCAGCTGCGTTGCTAGCACGCTCAGCTGCGTTGCTAGCACGCTCAGCTGCGTTGCTAGCACGCTCAGCTGCGTTGCTAGCACGCTCAGCTGCGTTGCTAGCACGCTCAGCTGCGTTGCTAGCACGCTCAGCTGCGTTGCTAGCACGCTCTGCTGCGTTGCTAGCACGCTCAGCTGCGTTGCTAGCACGCTCAGCTGCGTTGCTAGCACGCTCAGCTGCGTTGCTAGCACGCTCAGCTGCGTCGCTAGCACGCTCAGCTGCGTTGCTAGCACGCTCTGCTGCGTTGCTAGCACGCTCTGCTGCGTTGCTAGCACGCTCTGCTGCGTTGCTAGCACGCTCTGCTGCGTTGCTAGCACGCTCTGCTGCGTTGCTAGCACGCTCTGCTGCGTTGCTAGCACGCTCTGCTGCGTTGCTAGCACGCTCTGCTGCGTTGCTAGCACGCTCTGCTGCGTTGCTAGCACGCTCAGCTGCGTTGCTAGCACGCTCTGCTGCGTTGCTAGCACGCTCTGCTGCGTTGCTAGCACGCTCAGCTGCGTTGCTAGCACGCTCTGCTGCGTTGCTAGCACGCTCTGCTGCGTTGCTAGCACGCTCTGCTGCGTTGCTAGCACGCTCTGCTGCGTTGCTAGCACGCTCTGCTGCGTTGCTAGCACGCTCTGCTGCGTTGCTAGCACGCTCTGCTGCGTTGCTAGCACGCTCTGCTGCGTTGCTAGCACGCTCTGCTGCGTTGCTAGCACGCTCTGCTGCGTTGCTAGCACGCTCTGCTGCGTTGCTAGCACGCTCTGCTGCGTTGCTAGCACGCTCTGCTGCGTCGCTAGCACGCTCTGCTGCGTTGCTAGCACGCTCTGCTGCGTTGCTAGCACGCTCTGCTGCGTTGCTAGCACGCTCTGCTGCGTTGCTAGCACGCTCTGCTGCGTTGCTAGCACGCTCTGCTGCGTTG